GTTGCTAAGCAACGGGGGGGGCAACATGGCGGCGGCGCTGAAGGGGGGAGCGCGGGAATGGCGGAGCAGCCCTCAGGGAGGAGAGTGCTGGGACCCCCACACTGCCTTGGGAGGGGCTGTAAGGATCAGCCAGTGCCACCCCTGCCATGGGCAGGGACACCTCCCACTGTCACACGTTGTTCCAACCGAGTCTTGGGCACTTCCAGGGATGCAGGGGCAGCCACAGCTGCTCTGGGAATTCCATCCCGAAGTCCCATCCATCCCTGCCCTCTGGCAATGGAAGCCATTCCCTGTCCCTCCATCCCTTGTCCCCAGTCCCTCTCCAGCTCTCCTGGAGCCCCTTCAGGCCCTGGCAGGGGCACTGAGCTCTCCCTGGATCCTTCTCTTTTCCAGGTGAACAGTCCCAGCTCTCCCAGCCTGGCTCCAGAGCTGATATTCCTTAGAACATTTTTGAGGGAAAAGAAAAACAGACGATGGTTCTGTTTAGATGGCATATTGGGAAGGAATTCTTCCCTGTGAGGGTGAGGAGGGGCTGGGATGGAATTCCCAGAGGAGCTGTGGCTGCCCCTGGATCCCTGGAAGTGTCCAAGGCCAGGTTGGAGCACCCTGGGATGGTGAAAGGTGTCCCTGCCCATGGCAGGGGTGGCACTGGATGGGCTTAAACCAAACCAAACCATTCCAGGAACTCCATGGCCGGATCCAGCACCATTTGCTGAGGTAAGTCAGGTTTCAGGCATTTGACAAAACACAAGGATTTTGCAGCAGAAAAAAGCCCACCCAAAGCCCCCCTAGACGTCCTGATGAGCAGGAGCAAGTCTGATGCTCACTGTGACCTTCCTTGCTTAATAAAACATTATTTTTTAAATAAAAAATCTCAGAATGTCAAGATTTGGCTTCTTTAGCTGCAACAGGGTTTCTTAAAATTGCGTTTGCTCAGAGCAGATGGGGGGGAATGGGGTAGAAAAAGGCAAAGAAAGGGAAGTAGAAAAGCAAAGTTTGCTTTTTTTTTTCCCCTGATGGAGGGTAGGAAAACAAGGACACAAACACTACCAGAAGCCGTGTGAGGCAGAGAGGAATCCAGCATTCCAGCCAAACCAGGGCTTATATTTCAGATAAATTAAAAAAAAAATAAAAATTAAAAAAATATATATAATTAAGGAAGGGTTTTTGGAGCCGCAAAGGCCGTGCCATGCGGGCAGGCCGGGGATTGTCAGTGCCACCTCCTGTCAGCCGCGCCGCACTGCACAGCCACGGAAATCCAGCTGGAAAACCGGGATTGCATCACCCAGCCCTGCTCCAACCCTTCCCCTCGGAAAAATCCTGAGCCAGCAGCGCTCCCACCCCTCCATCCCCCAGCAGCGGGGAGGATTTCACTGCCTGAGCACGCCTGGGACCCCTCCGTCATTACAGAATATATTTTATTTATGGAATTTTACAAATATCTGTACAATCCACGTGACATTTTAAGTTAACGCTCTTTTGTTTCGGCGCCGTCCTCTCCTTACAACACCTGAGTTATAATTGAAATACTGAGATGGAACTTGAGCTTCCAAACGGATGAGGGGAAGGAGAGACGGGTGAAAATCCACAAGGAGCTGGATTTGGGTGGGTTCCCATCCCTTTGGCACTGGCAGGTGCCAGCCTGCCCAGCCTGGGAACAGGAGCTCTCCTTGGTGGCAGGGCAGCCTCGTTTCTCAACCCTCCCCCCCATGCCAAATCTCCGGGTTGCAGATTTCTCAGGAATCAGGGATGAACTCGAAACGAGAAGACGGTGGATTTGTGAATCCTGCTGGCTCTGAGGAAGCCAAGCCCTGCTCTCTGCCACTTCCCAGCTCTTGGGGACAAAGATTCAGAGAATCCAGAGGGGACAAACCCCCTGATTTTCCCCCCATCCTCCCCCACGGAGGCTTTTCCAGCAGGGATGCAGCTCTGGTGCCTTGTGCCCTGCCAGCCACATGGTGTTTTCCAACTGATTCCTTGAGAGAGAGGAGAGGGCACCTGTGCCAGTGGAAGGACTCAGATTTTCCACATCGAGTCAGTCAGCCGAGGCTGTGGCTCTCTCAAGCAAGGAAAATGTTTCCAGTGCCACTTTCGTCCTGGAATCAGCAGCGCAGGGAATGCCTGCGAGGTGCTGAATGATTGCCTGAGCCAGCACAGGCCACTCTGCTCTGTCCCACAGGGAAAGGTGACTTATGGTGACAATCCACAAGAGACACCACATGGGACAAAAGGGAGCCCATCTCTCCTCGAGGATCACCTCGGGAATCACCCAAGGACCGTGTGGCACCTTCAGGTGAAACGTGATCCCAAAAAGGCTCCTCTAGAAGTTGATATTTAGGCTTGGGGTGCAGGACAAAGCCAAGAGCCAGGGGACAAATGCCCAGACTAGAAAAGCCACTGAGAGTGCAGGTGATGATCCATGAGGATCCTGTCAGTGCCAGAGGCCACAGGCTCAGTGACAGCTGTTGGGAGCTTAGGAAGAACATCATCCAGTTAGGAACTACAGGAATTCAGGGATTACAGCAATCCAGCCAGGGTACAATGCTGCCAGGAGATCCCTCTGTCCTGCAACGAGCAGGAATAACACCTGGCACAACCTCAGCTTTGTTTTCCTTGGGGAGGAAGGGAAGGTGTGGGAGCCTCAGCTCCAGCACAGTGCCACCACCCTGTCACACCCCACACACCTGCACAGGTGGGGAGTGAAGGAAGACGCTTCACAAACACTTCCAAAGCACCTGCAGCTCTCCTCCATCCCAACCCAGCGCCAAACACGAGCGATTCCCCAGAATCCACACGGCCACAAGCTCACACCAGGTACAGGACAAGGGGTCTGGGGGCAAAAGGGGTGAGAGGGAACCTCAAGCAACACGGGTGGGGTGGGCAACCTTATCAATATGATAATAAGTAATTCACCTAGTGAATCTGGGGAACGCCAGCCTGGAGGCAGAGCTGGGAAGTGCCTGGAACACCCTTCTCTGGCTACTCCCTAAGGCTGGGAACACACAACCTAAAGAGGTTCACAGTCTGAGTTTTGCTTTTAAAAACACCCCCCACCCCACCCTGAACCTCAGCACTGTTGAAAAACTGGTGGCTGCTCCCAGGTGTCACCACGAGCTTGGACACAACCTGAGGAAAAATCCTTGGGCTGGAGCCTGTGGCTGGGCAGGGCTCTGCTCTCATCCCCTTCTCACCAGCCCTCACGGAGGAGGAGTTGGGATTTGCCCCCAGTTCCAGCAGCATGGACTGAAGGGGGGTCAGGGCATCCTGGCAGGCTTCTCCCAGCAGCCCAAGTGTCACTCCAACTCCAGTTTAGTGTCCTCTGCTCCGACCACTGACACCCAAAATGTGCTTTAAAAGCCCTGCTCTTGCCAGGGCATTGTCCAGGCTGAAAGGGAGCAGAAGCAGTCGGATGATGGTGCCATGGTGAACCTCCTCATCCTCGGAGAGCACAGCTCTGAGGGCTGGCTGGTGGGGAAGGGTCTGTCCCCATCTGTCCCCTGACCCAGACGGGTCAGGACAGCGTCATGTCCCATGGAAACACTCCGAGCACAGCGAGGGGAGCACGGCTGGAGCAGCTCCTGTCTCCCCATTCCATCCTTCCTGGGAGAGGTGAGGAGAGAAGGGATATGACACTGGAAAAAAGTCAGGTCAGTCCTATGGGAAGGGGAATTCCACTCCCCTCAGCCTTAAACCAGAAAAAAAAAAAATCCATGGAATAGCTTTCAAAGCAGTGTCTCTCCTGTAGTGTGACGTCAGTGCCCGCACAGGTACCGTCGTATGTTTGCAGCAGGAAAGGAAAAAAAACAAAAAGGAAAAATACCCCCCCCCCCCCCCCCCAAAAAAAAAAAAAGGAAAAATTGGATCAGGGCTTCAGCTCGGGCTGGTCCTACCCTATCTGGATCTGCCCTGAGTACATGGTGAGCAGCACCATGATGGTGAAGCCCGTGAGCAGCCCCGCGTTCTGGATGGCGAAGGTGATGAGGGCGCTGCCGTTCTGCTCGTCCTCCCGGCTCACCTCGTTCATCTCAGGGAACTGCAGGGGGAAAAATTGGGATGGCAGGGATCAGTGACAGCTCCATCCTTCCTCAGCAAACATTCAGCACCCTCCCATCCTCGGGATTTCAGCCAGCTGAGACATCTGCATGTGCCAAGGGGACAGAGCAAACCTCGGCGTGCCTGCAGGCTGAGGGCAAGCAGAGCTTTTCCTAGGAAGAAATCCCAGGAAATCCCAAGATTCTGTGCTCAGGATTTGGGGTCAGGATTTACCATGTCAGCCAGTGCTATGTACAGGAACATCCCTCCAGCCAGAGCAAAGATCCAGTTGGCAGAGAAGTGGCTGCCAGCCACGATGCCAAAGGCCAGGCCCATGTAGCAGCAGCAGGCAGAGATGAAATTGAAGAAGAGAGCCTGGCGAATGGTCATCCCAGCATTGAGCAGGATCACAAAGTCCCCTGTGGGAAAAGAAGGTGGGAGGATGAGGAGAGAAGGGCTGTCAGCAGCATTGGGACAGCACCAGCTTGAATTCACAGAATTCCAGAATATCCCAAATTAGAAGGGATGCAGGAGGATCAGAATCCACTCTGGACTGCACAGGACACCCCAAAAATCACCGTGTGGGCTCCCTGTGGCTGCTGGGCACTGACCATCACACTGCCCCTAAATTTGGACATTCACACCCAAACCTGTTTGTCCTCCACTGACCACTCCACTACTCCCAAATTCAGACATTCACACCCAAACCCTCCTCCCCCCTCAACTACCCCTAAATTGGGACATTCACACCCAAACTTGCCTCCCACTCACTGACCACAGCACTGTCCCTAAACCCACGCCAAACCCACCTCCCCTTCGCTGACCAATTCACTGCCCTAAATCCAGACATTCCCACCCAAACCCACTTCCCCCTTCCCAAACCGAGGTGTTGAGGGTTTATTTTTTTTTTTTTGTCTTCAGATGCCTCCATCTAAATTTAAACCTCAGACATCATATTACCTCGTTATTTTTAGAGCGGCGATTACTCAGAGCAGTTTACAGCCCTGCCTTTCCAGCAGCATCCCTGCTTATCCCACCCCAAATTTGCCTTCCTGGATGGAAAAAGGATGGACTCCAGAGGGAGCAAGACCAGGGGTAGACCCAAGGAGTCACATACCCAGCTCGTGTGGGAACTCCTCACAGAGAATGGCCACGGAGGTGCTGATCCCCTGGAACACGGACACGGTGAAGGAAGCGCCGATGGCCAGCCCGTCGATGAAATTGTGGAGGCCATCACTGAGCGTGATCATCCAGGCCAGGGTCCCAATGTCCGAGTACCTCACCTCCTTCAGCCAGTAGCACGCGCTCTGGGAGGCCTGCAGGTCCTGCCACAGCACCCCAAAACGGCCATCAGCACCCCAAAATGACCATCAGCACCCCAAAACCGCCATCAGCACCCCAAAACAGCCATCAGCACCCCAAAATGACCATCAGCACCCCAAAACGGCCATCAGCACCCCAAAACAGCCATCAGCACCCAAATGAGGTCGTTGATCCCTCCTCCATCCCCCTATTGATTAAATCCACGCAGCGGAGCTGTTTGCTCCCACCACACACAGAATTTGGGCTGCAAAACTGCTTTTAACTGACAGGTGGGATTTTGTCATGGTCTCACCTGGACAGAGAGGGAGCCCACCACAGCCTTCTCATCCCCAGAGGGGGGCTTGCACTCCAGGTCGCTGCTGATGTGTGGGATCATGTGGTCCAGGTCCCCGTTCTGCAGCTTCTCTGTCACGCCCTCCTCCCGGTCCTTCTTGGAGGGCAGAGCCTCGGGGCCATAGTGGCTGTGCCCGTGGTGGTGCTGTGGGATCAGGGGATTCAGGGCTGCCATTCAGCCCGAAATTCCTGCTCTTTCCCATCCCACCATCCCGATATTCCTGCTGTATCCCGCCCCACCATCCTGAAATTCCTGCTCTTTCCTACCCTACCATCCTGAAATTCCTGCTCTTTCCCACCTGCCATCCCAAAATTCCTGCTGTTTCCCATCCCACAATCCCGAAATTCCTGCTGTTTGCCATCCCCTGCTCTGCCTCACCTGGTCCTTCTGCTTCAGGAGCATCTTCAGGATCTTCTCTGTGAAGAAGAAGAGGTAGAAGCCCCCGAACACCACAGCAGATTTGGAAACATAATAATCCTCCTGAGGGTTGAATCCAAACGCCTGCAGGCAGGAGGGGACACGGGAGAGGATGAGGCAGTGTCCTTCATCCAAAGGCAGTGTCCTTCATCTGCCTTTGCCCCTGGGGTGACACTGGAGGGGTGACACAGCTCTGATCTCTCTCTGAGGAGCAGCTGCTCTGGGGACAAGCTCAGAAAACGCCTTCGTGCACTTTTCATCTCCCTCATTCCCTCACCCAAGCCGGCTGTGTCCCAAGGCATTGGATCCAACACCTGCACTGGGGCGGGGATGCCAAAACCAGGCTCTGCTCTGCACGGGGGACCTGCCCCCAGGGCTAGAAAAAAGCCAGAAAAGGCAATAAAAGAACGAATCTCTGCTTGAAGCAGATCTCCCTGGAGCAATTCCCTTCCAAACTCCAGCTCCAAGGGGCTTCCAGCCCTCCATACCTCAACTCTGGGCTCCCCTCTGCTGCCGCCTTCCCCTTCTCCAGCCAGAAACAGCCCCAGAGAGAGAGAGAGAAAACCACAGACCCACCAGTCCTGTCCCTACCTCGGGAATGAGCTGGAAGAGGGCGTTGGAGTAGAGAGTTCCAATCGCCAGAGCTATGAAGTAGAGCAGCAGCCTCTTGTAAAATGTCTTCTTCATGAAGGGCACCACGCTGGCTCCCACCAGCGAGCACAGGGAGATGACGGAGACGCAGAGGAAACCATAACCCCAGACTGGCAGAGCCAGACCCACCCCAGGAGATGGGAAAGGGATGAGATCAACGTGGGGACGGGCAGGGAAGGAATCCACACCAGGACAGCACAGAGAGAGGAGGGAGGGAGAGAAGAGGACATTCATTAGTGATTCTTGTTCATCTGGCGCCACCTCCAAAGGGTGAACCCGGTGCTGAGCGGCTTGGGGAAAGTTGGGCAATCTCAGCTGAGTTTTGGTAGCCAGGCCATGTCCCAGCTAGCCACCAGCTCTGCTCTGTGGGTCACTCCCAAGCCACAGAGCACCCAGGTTCCCCCGAGCACCTCGTACACTCCATCCCTGTCCTGCAGCCCATCCCTGCTGGGATGCTCCGGGTGCTGGTGGGGCTGGAGTGTACATCCAACATTTCAATTCCTGGCAGATCAGGAATTAGAGGCGCTTGGTTTTTATGTCCAGCAAAAAAAAAAGTTGCAGTTCTGGAGCTGAAAACTTGGAAAAACATCTCACAGCACGGATAAGGCGTTCACTGCCTGGCAGCAAAACAGGCAACACCAGGGGAGAAAAACCCACTGGAATTTTAAGGTTGGATGTGCCAAATCCAGCTCATCCTCTGAGGAGGTACCTGGACCACGTTGCAAAGGTTTCCAATCCAGGTGGATTTATTTATTCAGCTCCAGAACTGCGCAATTACAACACAATTAATTGGCGATATTTCTGTTGTCCCATCAGAGCACCAGGAAACCTCATGGAAGCCAGAACCCTTGTGGGAGCATCGGATTGGGAAATCAGGTAGGGGGGAAAAAAAGAAGGCAATTAAAGGATTTGTAAATGTTGGCTGATTGCAGAGGAAGCCGGTGCTTCTCCAGGCTGTTCTCCTTGCTTTTATATGGATATTTGATCATATTTTCATGGATATTTCACATTTTTTTCCCTCTGGCTCATGCCACAAGCGTGGCTGAGCGTGGCTGAGCACATCCCTCCGCGGGACAAACACCTGGACACACAGAGGAGGAGCAAACAGCTTCTCCCAGCACATTCCCACTGCTCAGGGATGGAGGACACTTGAGGGTTTCCTGGTGCTCAGAGAGGTGAGAAAAGCCCTGCAGAGCCCCTTGAGCCAAGCCCTGAGCCTCGGGTGACGAGGGACCGGATCGATTCGGCGGGGTGGAGGCAGAGAGGGCGCCCGGGGAGCTGCCCCTGGAGACGGGAGAGAGGCAGGGACGGTTCTACCGCACCTCTGGGATGAGCTGGAAGAGCGCGTTAGAGAGCAGCGTGCCGATGGAGAGAGCGATGAAAAACAGGAGCACCCGGCTGAAAAAGGCCTTCTGGGAGCACGGGACGATGAGGACTCCGAGCAGGGAGGCCACGTTAATCATGGACACACTGAGAAAACCAAAGCCCCACACTGCGGAACGAGAAGAAACGAGGGCCAGACATTACCGAGGCTCTCGGAGAGCCCGGACACGGGCAGGTGGGAAAGGGCTCCGGGGTTGTTCCCCGCGCTCCAGATGCTCCAGCTGCAACAAAACCATCGTGTTTGGTGCAGGGAAGGTGGGAATGAAGCCACTGGGTTCCTTGGAAAAGGTTTTCCCGAGCCAGCCCCAGCGTGGGAGAAGCCAAGCTGTGCTCAGGGCAGCTGATCCAAGACCTTGGGAATTGTCAGGACCGGGATAGGCAGGAGCTGGTTGAGCATCCCCCAGCTCAGGGGCCAGGTCACCCCCTCCCACCCACGGGGACTCACAGCAGAGCCCCCTCCTCATCCAGCTATCCCGGAGGCACAGAGATTATCCCAGCAAAACCACAGCACAGCACGATCCACAGCGAGGAAAACTCAGTCATGATTCCCAGCTGCTGGAGGCAGGGAATTCCCAGGAGTGGGAACTGGCTGTTCCTTGTGTCCCCAAGCTCTAGGCAGTGCCCATGGCCCCCCCCAGCACCCCAATTACCTTCAGCTGAGCTGGGCCTGCTCTCCTCTGTCTGCTCATTCTCCTCGTTTTCCAGGTTTTCAGAGGCACACGCCCCCGACTCCAGCTGCTGCAGGATGGTGGGGCAGAACTCCTTGAACTCGCTGTGCCCCACAGGGGAGCCCTCGCTCAGGTTGTGGATGGCAAAAAGCTCCACGGAGCTGAAGCACTGAGGGAGGGAAGGGACAGAAATGCACCTTGAGATTCCCACAGCTCTGCAGGGCGATTCCAGGAGTCTGCAGGGAGGTTTTGGGGGGTCCACAGGGAAGTTTTGGATGTCCACAGGGAGGTTTTGGGGGGTGCCCCCTCCTTACCCTGGAGAGGTTGAGGCGCTGCTGAGGTGTTTGGGAGACATTGGCGTGTCCCACTCCCACATCCAGGCGGTTCAGCAGGGCCTTGAGCTGCTTCAGGCTCAGGGTCTGGCTCTCCCCGTAGCGCTGGAGCAGATCCTGCAGGAAGGAGGCTGCGGACACTGCGGGGCTGTCCCTGCCCGCCCGGACCCGCGGGCAGGGGAGGAGGAGGAGGCAGAGCAGCAGGAGCAGGCAGCAGCTCCGGGGGCCCACGCTGGGGATCATGGTGCCTCTGGGATGCTGGGAGAGAAACCACACTGCTGTTGGATTTGGCATTCCCAGCCCTCCAACCACAGCTCCAACCACGGCTCCTCCACCCCACTGATTTATCCTCAGGGAAAGAGGGAACAGCGCTGGAAGCACACAGATCCTGAGAGGATTCAGCATTTTTCCACAATCTTTCCATGTAAAATCACCCCCCTTCCTCGTCCTCCTCCACCCTGAGCCACCCCAAGCCCCTCACTCACCGTGGGGGGCTGCCAGCACACGGCTCCCGGGGGCTCTCCAGCTCCTCAGTACCTCGGGGACCCTGGGAAGAGCAGGATGGTCGGGAAGAAGGCAGGGCTGTGCCAAAATCCAGCTGTGCCAGCCCCGAATCCAGCTGTGCCAGCCCCGAATCCAGCTCTCTGGAGCGTGAGGAGTCACGCTCCAGCCCTTGGCCACGCGTGGATCCCCTCCGTGTCACCAGGACTGGGACACAAACGCCTCCAGGATCTCAATGCCAGCACTCAGAGGAACACGGGAGCCCCGAGGACAGAGGTGGCCTGTTCATTAGGTTATAATTTAACCAGGATAATTACCATGAACCGAGTGCTTCCCTGCTCTAACTGTAGGTGCCTTTATAGTGTTTGCCCAGAATTAATCCTTGCCCTCTTTACCCCTTTCATATGTGCCGAGAATTGATAAAGGAGGGGTGGCACAACCCCGGGGTGCAAAGGAAGGGGCTCAGGGAGAGGGGGGGGATGCCAGGCACGACCTGCACGTCCACCTTGGGAGGCACCCAAGAGCCTGCAGCTCGGGCTGCCTTCCTGGAAAAGCTTCCCTGAAAGGTGGATGGCAAATTTGGGATTCACAAGGAGAAAATAAAAAGTCTGCTGCCTCCATCAATGCAGCAGCCATCCTGATCCCAGTGTGGGGCTTCAGGAGCACCTCCTGATCCCCCTGGCTCCCCTTCCCAGGGGCTCCCAGCCCAGCCCTGGACACCCTGCAGGGCCTGGCCTGTGCTGACAGCTCACAGGCTCCAGTCTCTTCCAAAAACCAGGACGTTTTTGAAGCCTGGCCAAGCAATTGTTCCAAAAATAACCTGAGGCCAGGATTTCCATGCCAAGGGGCTGCCAGGGAACCACGCTCCCCATCCAGGACCCCACTCCCCCTGAAGGCTCCCACATTCTCACAGGTTTTACCAGCTTACCACCACTTTGTGAGCTTTGTTCTCTGGGAGGTTTTAGCCTCCTCCTGCCAGGGCTTAGCTCGGATGCTTTGACTTAACCCCTCTCCTCCCAAAATGAGTGAGGGAGCCCATCCAGAGTGGTGCTGGGTGGGGGGACCGAGGGATCTCTGCCTTTTCAGCATCCCCAGACGCCTCCTCTGCCTCCCTGTCCCAATCCACCTTTCCAGGTGGGTCCTCCTGGGCTACACGGGACATCCAGGATATTGGTGACTTCCACAGGTGCTGGCACACAGCCCACCGTGCCAAAGGTTTGCCTGGCTGGCCTCACGTCCCTCTGGCTGCCCTTCCCAGCCCAGTGCTCCCCATCTCCCCGGTCCTGCTCCCTTGCACACCGGTCCCGGCCCGTGCCAAGGCACGCAGCTCTGTCCGCCGCCAAAACCCCTCCCGGGGGTTTCTCCCAAAACCAGGCTGAGCCGGATACACCCAGGATGGAAAACCGGACCTCAACTTTCCCCCTGCTGCCAAAGGAAAGGCAGGAAGCGCCGAGCGGGCAGAGCCGGGCAGCAGCCGGAGCTGCTCGGGCTCGCTCCGTTTTAGGGCAAAACGAGGTGGAGGAGCCGCCCCTGAAGGAAGAGAAGGGCCCAAAAAGAGACATCCCGGGGGGCTCCGACCTGCTGGAATCCCATGGCAAGGCAGGAAGGTGTCGAGCACACCCGGGATAAACGGGATGCGGCAAACACCAAAGAACATCGACCCTCGGCATCCCCAGCGCCAGCTGCGAACCCCCCGGAGCCCCTGGGCTCCATGACCGCTACCTTCAAGGGCGTCCTTCCACCGGGATGCGCTCCTGGAGCCCGGAGCCAGCGCCTGACCTACTTTATCGCTCCTGGGACGGGGCACGGGACAAACCGCTGCCACGGGGAGGGATGTGCCCGGGAGCGATGCCCGCTAGCCACGACAGCACAACGCAGCTCCCAAGGCCGGGCAAACCCTTCCCGTCTCCCTGGGCTTCACTTCCCAGAGATCATCGATCCCAGCCGCAATCCACACATTTCCCCCCGCCCCGTTCCAAGCGGGAAGGTGACGCCGGGAATAAGAACCGCTGGCACAGCCGAGCATGACCCCGGCGACGTCAGCCCAGCGCCAGACGCTTCCCGAAACCCCGCGCAGGGACAGCTCGCTGGCGCAAACCTGGAGGGGAGGGGGGCAGAGGGGGATCCCAAAATTCCAGCCCCCCCGCCCGCTCCCACCGGACCCATCCCGGTCCTGTCGGGAGCCAGAGGGGCCGAGCTCCTTCCGGAGCAAACGCCGCTGCCTCCACGTGTGCTGCGGCACGGAGCGTGCCCAGGAGCACGGAGGTTTTCCGCGCCCCGCGGCTCGTCCCGGGGCTGGCAGCGGTTCCTGGGGCACGGACACCCCGGGAGCCCCCGGAGCTTTGGGAATGTCCTGTCCATTCCTTTCCCGTGATTCCAGCCCGCACGCCCGGGGACGAGCAGATGGGCAGCGAAACCGGGAGAAACCCCGGGAGAAACCCCGGGAGAAACCCCGGGAGATATCCCGGGCATCCCACCCCACACGGACCCCCCAGTCCTGCCCAGTGCCCCCCTGCACCGGAGCTGCTGCTGCCCCCCAGGCCCTGCCCCATCTCACCCCACCGCCGCTGCCTGGTCCCAGAGCTTCCACTGGTGATGCCAGACCCCATAACTGGGCCCTGCACCCCAAAACTGAGTCCTGCACCCCATAACAGGGTCCTGCACCTCAGACCCCACCTCTACCTGCACCCTCACCTGCCCCAGACCCCACGGACTGTCCCAAAACGAGTCCTCATTGCTGCCCACATGCCCTAGGACCAGTCCCAAACCCTAAACAGCCGCTCCCTGCATCCTTCCTTGCATCCTGCATCCTTCCCTGCATCCCCCATCCCCATCCGGGGCTCGGGGCCGGCCCCAACTCGCTCCCCCCGCTCCGCTGCCTCTCTCCCCGCTGCGACCCGTCCCCGCAGCCGGCTCCCGTCTCACGGCAGGGCTGCCGTGCCTATCCCGGTCTGTCCCGGTCCATCCCGGTCCGTCCCGGTCCATCCCGGTCCTACCTCGGCTCCCGCTCCCGCCGCCGCCGCTCAGGGCCGCGCAGTGCGCATGCGCGGCCGCCGGCACGGGGAGCGCTCCCATTGGCTGGCGCTGCCTCAGGCCACGCCCCCACCAGGCCACGCCCCCTGCGCGGCAGCGGGACCCCCCAAAAATCTCACCCGGGACCCCTAAAAAATCCTACCCAGGACCCCCCAAAAATCTCACCCCGGAGCCCTCAAAAATCCAGCCGGGATCCCCCTTAAAAAATCTCACTCGGGATCCCTAAAAACTCCCACCCGGGACTCCTCAATTATCTCACTCGGGACCTCCTACAAAATCCTACCTGAGACACCCAAAATCTCACCCGACATTCCCTAAAAGCCCTTCTGAGACCCCCTAAAAATCCCACCTGGGACCCCCAAAAATCTCACCCGAGATCCCCCAAACTGCCCCAAAACATCCCCCAGGACTGCCCCAAAACAGCCACCTGGAGCATTGGGATCCCCAAACACCCACCTTGGGAACCCCCAAAAACCCACCCGGGGTATTGGGAGCCTATGGAAGCCACTGAACACCCACCCTGGGGGCACCAAGACCCCCAGGACCCCTTCAAGGGTCCCCCAGAGCCATAGAGACCCCACAGATCCCCCAACACCCCCCCGGGGCACCCCAGGGAGCTCCCCTAACACCCTTTAGAGGCACAGGGCACCCCAAACCACCCCTGAACCCCATCCCAAGGGGTCACAGCACCGAACATCCTCTGGGGTGGGGCTGGGGGACCCCAAGGACCCCCCGAAAAAGCCCAGGGGGGCTCAGGGGAGGACAAATCCTGGCAGCCAGACCCATCCTGGCTCCTCTCCCTGTGCCGAGGAGCTGCCAGGGACAAGGAAAAGGCTGAGCTGGGACAGAAAAAGCTGCTGGAGAGGGTCAGGCAGAGCTGGGGGACCCCCAAAACCCCCAGCCCAGCACCCCCAGGGCCAAGATTTGTTCCTAAATCCCACCCCAGGCTTGGCCACGGTTGCCAAAGTCCACCAGGATTGGCAAATAAACAGGGATAAATGATTAACCCAGGCACAAGGTGACAGCTCTGGTGGCACCGCTGCTGTCACCCCCTCCTCAGTGTCCCCTGCTCCACCCTGGGACCCCCCTGGGAATGAGGGGCCACCAGTACTCCCCCCCAAAATTCACGAGGGAGCAGCTGCCAGCAACGATTTTATTGGAATGAACCAAAAAAACTGGTTACAGCAAAAAGTTAGGGAATTCCTACTTCTCCTGACTAAGGCAAAAAAAAAAAAAACAAACCAACCTAAAATAGGTGAAAACTCAAAACCTCTCCCTGGGGTAACGACCTGAATCCACAAAGAATTCTCCTTGGAAAACCAGTGACTCCTCAAGGACAGGAAAACCAGCCAAACTGGAGCTGGTTTGTTGAACAGCAGCTTTGAAAAAACCCAGGGAAAAAAACTTTATAAACCTATGGAAATGCAAGAAACCGGGGGGAAAAAAAACCACCCCAAAATCTTTGGGATTTACATCCAGCACCTGCACAGGGCTGAGCTGTGGGAGCAGCAGCACTTTTGGGGCTCATTAACTCAACCCCCTTTACTGGGAAGGCTGGAAACCAGCAGGATATTCCTTTGGTGTCATCCCCATGGAGATAATTCCCAAAAAAAACCCACAGCCCTGGGATGCTGCAATCCCCAGCATCCTCTAAACCAACAAACAGAGAATAAATTAACACCAAAACAGGGAAATGAGGAAGATCCCTCTTGGCGGGGTGGGGGGGGGCCAAACAGCAGAGGGCAGGGGAGCAGAATTCTGGGTTCAATCCCAGTTTTCCCAGTTCAATCCCGGTTTTGCAGGTCCTGGCAGGTTAAAGGAAGAAGAGCTGCTCGCTGAAGTGGGCGCTGGGCTCGTGGTGCAGGACCTGTCCCACCAGGAATGCCAACTTGTGGGCGTACTTGCAGGGGGCAGGGACACGGATGGTGCCCGGCCAGTTCCAGTACAGGTGACACAGCTTGAAGGTCAACCTGGGCACAGGGAGGGATTTGGGATTCCTGGGAATGGAGGTGGATCCAGATCCCTCCCAGAAACTGCTCCCAGGCGTTTGGGATAGAGGGAACCGGGATTTGGGATTTCTGGGAATGGGCATGGATCCAGGCTCAGATCCCTCCCAAGGTGTCCCTGTCCTTGGGACAGAGGGAATTGGGATTTGGGATGCCCAGGAATGGGGATGGATCCAGGTTCAGATCCCCCTCAGAACCTGCTCCCAATCCCTTGGGACAAAGGGAATTGGGATTTGGGATTCCTGGGAATGGATCCGGGTTCAGATCCCTCCTAGAACTTTCCCCAAGGTGTCCCTGTCCTTGGGACAGAGGGATTTGGGATTCCTGGGAATGGGGATGGATCCAGATCCCTCCCAGAACCTGCTCCCAGGCCTCTCCCCTTCCCTCTGGAATATTTTTGGGGGCTGCAGGATCTCAGAAATTCTGGGCCTCCCGCTTTTCCCATAGATGATTTTGGGGGGTCTCTCCTCCCCTCCAGGGAGGATTTTGGGGGTTCAGGACCCCCCTTTACCTCTGCAGGTGCTCAGAGCTGAGGTTGGCCGTGTTCCACATGCAGATGTACCGTGTGGGGACGCTGCAGCCCTGCCGGGAGTGATGGGCCAGCAGGAAGAAATCCTGCCTGGGGGGACAAAACAAACCCCAATTTGATTTTTTTTTTCCACTCCAAAATGAGCATTTTTGCACCTCAGGGCGCTGTGAACCCCAGATTTGACTTTTTTTTTGTTACACCCCAGAACGGTGGTTTTGAACCCCAAGGGTTTCATTTTTGCACTCCACAGGGATTTTTTTTTTTTTTTTTGTACCCTGGGATGGTTTTATAACCATTTTTTTGCACTCAAGGTGTTTTTACACCCCAGAGTGTTTTATTTTGTAAAAACAATAAAGTACTTTATGGTATTTTTACCACAACTTTTTTGCACCTTGGGGGGGCTTTTACACACCATTTTTTACACCTTGGTGTGGATTTTTTCCAACACCCTGGGATATTTTTACAACAATTTCTTTGGCATCCTAGGAATTTTTTTGCACCCTGAGGTTCTAGGAAATTTTTTGCACCCCGAGGTTCTTTTTGCACCCTGGGCTATTTTTACAACCCATTTTTTTTGCACCCTGGGGTGGTTTTACAACCATTTTTTCCTATCCAGGGCGGATTTTTTCCCACTCTGGGGCATTTTCCCCTCTGTTTTTTTTTTTTTACAGGTTATTTTTTTCCCCCCTGGGGGTGTTTTTATCCCATCCCAGGGTGTTTTTTAGCCCACCCCGGATGTGCCTCTCACCATCCCGAGCTGGTGACGCTGTGGTCGATGACGGTGCCCAGGGGAGGGGACACCAACTCCTCTCCTGTCAGGCAGTAGAAGTTGGTGCTCAGCTGTTTCTGCACCACCACCACCACGAGGCTGGGCTGGTAATTTTGGAAGGTGTGGAAACTCTTCTGGAGCTGGGGCACCTCGTATTTGAGCACCGTGTCCAGCTGGGGGTCGGACACCCCGTCCCTGTACACCACGATCTTCATGGGCAGGGAGTGGTTCAGCTGGGGGGGAAAAAATGGGGAAAAAAAATCAGGAAAATCAGGTCATTTTTACCTCTCTGCCATGCACAGGATTAGCTGAGAGAGGTGGGGAAATATCCTCTGGTCAGGAGAAGTTTGGGTGTTCAGGGATGGAGATGGGAATTTAACCCACATTGAGTTCCTTCCCAAAAATGCAGCTTGGGGCGGGTTTGGGTGTGTTTGCATTAATCACAGAATTCCAGACGGATTTGGGTGGGAAGGAGTTTTAAAATCATCTCATTCCACCCCTGCCATGGGCAGGGAACTTTCCACTAGCCCAGGGTGCTCCAACCTGGCCTTGGACACTTCCAGGGATCCAGGGGCAGCCACAGCTCCTCTGAGAATTCCATCCCAGCCCCTCATCACCATCCCAGGCAGGAATTCCTTCCCAATATCCCACCCATCCCTGCTCTTTGTCAGTTTGAAGCCATTTCCTGTGTCCTGTCCCTCCTGCCCAGCAAATTCCCAGAGCCCAGGGCTGTTCCTGCAGCACCCACAGAGAGAGATGGGAAAATCAAATCAAAGAATCCTGGAATGGTTTGGGTTGGAAAGGACCTTAAATCCCATCCCATCCCACCCCTGCCATGGCAGGGACACCTCCCACTGTCCCAGGTTGATCCAACCTGGCTTTGGGCACCTCCAGGGATGAGGCAGCCACAGCTCCTCTGGGAAAATCCCAAAAGCTGGGATTTTTCCTGGCCCTTGCCCTGTCACAGGCTGGTTTTCTCACGCTGGGGACAAGGGACAGGCCTTTGGGAGCTGTAACGTGGCACTTCCCTGTGAGCAGACTTCTCCCCGAGATAAGGATGAGCTGTCCCAGCTCCACATCCAGTCCAAAGGCTGCCAGGGAAGTTTGCTCCCCTGCACGTACCCAGGCTGGAAGTTTGGGAGGTTTTTCCCTCTGTTCTCAGGGTGGATTTTGGTCGCCCTCACCTCATAGAAGCGCTTGAGGGCTTGGGAGAGGCAGAGCCGGAGGCTGTCGGCGATTTCCTGGTGGGGCATCTGGAAAACCACCCTGGAGTACCACTTGGTGAGGATGCTGGGGATGGAAGAGCGATGAGAAGGAACCAGGAACCCCCCCAGCACCAGGCAAAGTCTTGTGAAACCCCAACCAGCCCTGGCTCAGCATTCCCAGCCCTTTCCCCAGAGATTCCCAACACAAACACGCTGGGAAAGACCTCCCTGAGCACAGCAGAATCCTCACCCCCTTTCCCAGCCAAGGAAGGGGATTTTGGGATGGGATGTCCTGCAAATTCCCAGGGCAGAGCAGGGAAAGGCCTTCCCCCCTTTCCCGGGAAGCCACCTACTGGTTCATGCTGGCCACGAAGCCGATGACAGAGCGCATCCCTTGGCTC